ATTTTGATTTTTACATGAAATTTGGTTCTAAGAGTATGGTTAATTTTATTACTTTTTGTAAATATATGAAGAAATAAATTTATAATTCTTATTTTTGTGAAATTGAACATAAAACTTTGATTTAAATAACATATTTCATGATTAATTCAGATTATTTCCATGATGTCTTTGACTGATTTAATATTGAGAAAAATTTAAAAATTAAATAAAATGTATGTAGAATATTTATTTTATTATTATTTTTGTGTTTTATTTTTTTCATCATTAGTTTTATGTAAATAAGTAATATTTATTTATTGTATATAATTTATATTGTAATGAATATATAATAAAAACTTTTTATGTGTTTATTAATTTTAATTTAAAAATCTATTTGATCAACTGCATATTCCAATTGAATTAAATTTGTAATTTGACAGTTAAATAAAAAAGGTAACAGTGGTTATTTTAAAAGTATTTATTGTTTTGTTTTATCTGCAATAAAATTGTACATCTCTTAATTAAAATTTTTGGCAATAAAGAAATATATATATTTTTATTTGTTTGTGTAGAGACTATATAAAATAGTACAAAGATGCATTTGTTGTTGACATCATAGAGCTGACAAACCTTGCTCTCTTTTTTTTTTACCTTGACATTACGTCATAATTTATCAATATGAAAATGAATTATAACAAATAAACCTGTTGAAATTATTCTGATTTATGTCATATAGTTTGTAAATGCTAAAAAAATTTCTTAATAATTGATTATCTGTGAATTTTATCTACACAATCAGTAGCAATCTAAAATACAATTTTTATAACTAAGCTATCTGGTAAGAATCTGGGACCCAATACCTTTCCTCCAACATCTGAGAAAGGGACAGCTATAGATTCATCATCGCCCAGAGCAAACCGCTTAACCTAGAGAGGTGAAATTTGGTAGACAGTTAGGGTACGTCATGGAAACACACACTAAGAAGGGATCTTTTGAAATTCCCCCGCGGGGGGAGAGGGAGAGCATTAAGGCTTAACCGGAAAAATGGCTTCTACTGTACTATTTTAGATGCGATTTTTTCTTTTTATATGTGTTTTAGTAGGGTATGCCATGGGAATTCACATTAAGAAAGGATTTTTCAAAATTTCCCCGCAGGGAGGAGAGATAGAGCATTAAGGCTTAACCAGAAAACGGCTTCTACTGTACTATTTTAGATATGATTTTTTGTTTTCAACTATGTTTAGTCTTCATTGAGTACTTAGGTGTATTAAATTGATAACATTTCAGACATTGTTATAAATATTTTTATCTATTTCGATTTTAATTAAAAATGTTCGATTTGTTTTAAATTCAANCTATTTCGATTTTAATTAAAAATGTTCGATTTGTTTTAAATTCAAATTTGTTATTGCATATTGGTTCGATTATAGAACGATTGTAAACGTTCCAGAAAATTGATCAAATTGAAGATAGTTTGTTTGATTCTCGGCAATTCTTTTCAGCGGCAGGTGTTATATAACAATTACTATGGTTATTGAAATATTGAATGTAAATGGGGTTTGCTTGCAAAACCTCCGCGGACGAAGTTGCGGGTAACAGCTAGTTCATAATAAATATATAAATAATAATAATTAAATTTATTGTATATATTATTTTAAAGCCATATATCTATATTTTTTATGTAACAACAAATATTTCATTTTATATTATAAATTTATTTTGATTTTTACATGAAATTTGGTTCTAAGAGTATGGTTAATTTTATTACTTTTTGTAAATATATGAAGAAATAAATTTATAATTCTTATTTTTGTGAAATTGAACATAAAACTTTGATTTAAATAACATATTTCATGATTAATTCAGATTATTTCCATGATGTCTTTGACTGATTTAATATTGAGAAAAATTTAAAAATTAAATAAAATGTATGTAGAATATTTATTTTATTATTATTTTTGTGTTTTATTTTTTTCATCATTAGTTTTATGTAAATAAGTAATATTTATTTATTGTATATAATTTATATTGTAATGAATATATAATAAAAACTTTTTATGTGTTTATTAATTTTAATTTAAAAATCTATTTGATCAACTGCATATTCCAATTGAATTAAATTTGTAATTTGACAGTTAAATAAAAAAGGTAACAGTGGTTATTTTAAAAGTATTTATTGTTTTGTTTTATCTGCAATAAAATTGTACATCTCTTAATTAAAATTTTTGGCAATAAAGAAATATATATATTTTTATTTGTTTGTGTAGAGACTATATAAAATAGTACAAAGATGCATTTGTTGTTGACATCATAGAGCTGACAAACCTTGCTCTCTTTTTTTTTTACCTTGACATTACGTCATAATTTATCAATATGAAAATGAATTATAACAAATAAACCTGTTGAAATTATTCTGATTTATGTCATATAGTTTGTAAATGCTAAAAAAATTTCTTAATAATTGATTATCTGTGAATTTTATCTACACAATCAGTAGCAATCTAAAATACAATTTTTATAATTAAGCTATTGTAGCTATTCTAACATTTTTCTTAATAATAATAATAATAATAATAAGGAAAATATAACTTATTATTATTATTATTTAAAATTCATATAAAATTTTTTATCTAGGAAAATTAGTTTTTTGTTATTGTTTTTAAGAAGTTGTAATAATGAATATATTTAATATGAATAAATGTTTTTGATTTCTTATGCAATTCTTTTATTTATCTGTATTGTTTTAATAAATATATTTGATTAATTTTGACACTTTTTTTTTTGTTAGTTTGTCTAATAAAATATTACTTTGATATAAAATTCAAAAATATATATAGGCTAATAAAAAAGTCTCTCTCCAGCCAATTACTTCAAAAACTAATAGGACAATCACTGTAGATGTTACTGGTGTATAATATGTTGAGCATGTGCTAAGCTAGCAATTCCCAACCAGGGGGTATGAAAAAAAGGCAGATATTCTATAAGAATATTTGGATTCTGCAATGGAACTTTTGGTAATGTCACAGCACTCAATGCTCAATTTTAAATAAAAATATTATTATATTTATCTGTGTCTTTCCAATGCTTTTTTTATTTAAAATACTTTTTTACATGTAATTAATTGTACAGCACTATATAATTGACCAAGGTGCCACTGTTAGACAAACACACAAAATAAAACTTAGTGAAAATGGGCTGCCAAGGGGTACACAAGTCAACAAAGGTTGGGAACCACTGTGCTAAACAATGGTGTAAATTTCTGCCTCCTCTAGTTCTATTGGAAAGGGCTGTTGTAATCTTGGTCCCTAATGAAAATAAGGCAAGTCCAACCCTGTTATTAATCATGCTAAAAACATATCTTTAAAACAAAAACAGAAATCGTAATGAATGAGTGTGGCACAAAGCAACATGAACATAAAGAATGTGAGTCCCAAGTGTGACTCTGACAGGTGTTAGAGAATAGATCAGTGTCAGTCCAGAGAGTTCAAACTTTGACTCTGATGCTTGTACACAAATGATCGAAGTTAAATTAAATCAGGAAACTGGGAAAAAAGAAAAAAATGTTGTGTGTAATAGTAAAAATTCCAAAACATCAGAAGAGAGACCATAAGAGTCTAAAATAAGTGTTGGTTTCAAAATTCCATCAACATTTCCTGATCAGAGTCCAGTTGAATATCGAAGATTGACTTTTCTTGTGACCCAATCAGATCTTATTTCCACTTGGAAACAAGGGAGGAGACCAATCAGAAAACAACAAGAGGAAATCTTAACCAATCAAAGTAAGAAATTCGGGGGAATCCTTTAAATATCCCAGATTTTAAGAACAAAGTGTGGATTTCTGACTGTTTATCAAGTCCAAAATAATCTGCATACTTCTCTTCGTGTGTGTAGTGTACCATCATTTTTGCCTTTGCTCCACTGGTGACCATACCAGATCTATTACTACCACTGGTGACCATACGAACTTACCCATGGCACTGCCACATGGCTACCAATGATTCCTCAAGGATCCACCATCAATGATAAAATCTCTTTGGACTTTCTTAAGATCATCATCTGAGAAGGAGCATCTCTCCAAAACACTTTATAAGCTGCCAGTTTACAATTTAAACCCGTTTATTTTAAATGTAAAGAATGCCTCCCCTCAGTATGTCCAACACACTACCCACATAGTCTTATCCCTCATTCATCTTGACTGGAGTCTGACTGACTCCCCCTTCTCCGGCCAGCAATCCTCACATATAGCATATTATTTCAAATTATTCATCATTGGTATCCATGAATTGTTGATATATCAAGTAAGTATGAAGAACATGTTCACGAAGAAATTTCTTAAAGCATGCAATTGAAAAGATATATGAACAATATTAACTATTGAAGGTTTCTCCTTAAGAAACTGCTTGAATTTGAAGTTATGGAAATCTCTACTTAATTTTAAATGCATTAAAAATTTAATAAACATAGAACAATTTATATTTTAATACATGTATTTATACATATTAGAAAACTATTTAAGTGGTAATAGTTGTAAACTAAGTGGTAATAGTCACTCTAATTATTCTTCTTCAAACTTTTTATTGACTTTTTAAGTTTTTATATATTAAATTACACATTTTGTAAATATTTAAATAAGTTTAATTTATTTTACAAAATAAATTATATCTACGTAACGTAATAGTAGTAAGATGGAGTTTGAAGGTGGCATTACTACAAGATGCAGAGCAGTTATGAGGAGGTGTGGTACAGGAAACATCTGGAGAACTAGTGGTGACTAACATCTTAATGGCCAACCTTCATTCCATTGTCTCTTTAAACCAGATGTCAGTGTAATTTACTTCATTATATAGAAAACTGTATATATGGTGGGATAATGACTATAATAAATGACTATGCTCATGTTCATTATTATAATTTTAGATTTATGTACCGGTACAACAACAGATTCTTGTAGATAAGAAAATGTAAACTAACTTTTATGTATTTATTTTTAAAATAATGATTTCTTCATTTACTTTTCCTAGCATTCATTTGAACCAGAAAATGGACTATGGGGTGCCCTTCTAGCTGATCGTTTACAAAGGTATTTCTATCTTTCAGAAGGATAAAATTAGAAAATTAAGAAATATTTTGTGCAAATTTACAATTATGATTTTTAATATATTAAATATGTACCAACCAATTAAAATCATTTAATTCTCTTAATTACAGAACTTGTGATGTTATTCCTCGTGGATTTTCAGGATATAATACCCGAATGTGCAAAATTTTACTCCCTCGAATATTTAATAAAGAAAATATTCAGGGGGTAATTTTATTTGTTATATGTCTTGGTGCTAATGATTGTTGTGGAGCAGAATCTCCTACTCAGCAACATGTACCCTTAGATGAATATGTTCAAAATCTATATCAAATGATTGAATATTTAAAGGTAAAATATTAAATACTGTAAGCTTTTTAAAGAATATTTTACTTATATATCCTTGAAATATAATGTATAAAATATATTTTTATTTTAATGTTATGGATTTATAATTTGAAAAAACTACTGAACTAATAAATATTCTTTGAATTGCCGTATATGACCATGGCACATTAAGTTATTTTAAATTTGCAGCAAGATAAAGTAAAAAATTTTTCATATTAATTTTAAAATTTGTAAACATGTTCCTATGCAATAATCTAAATTACACTCAACAGAACAAAATTTATCACTAAATGTCTTTTAGGTTGTTGAGATTTGTTTAATTTTGGCAACATTTTCAACCTATTAAATAGGCCATATTCAGGCTATGTACTTCTTGGAACATCTTTACTAGCATGTTAGAAGGTCTGATTAGAAGATTTGAAAAAAAACCTAAGACATAAAACAGCTAATCTAGTGGAATTACTAAATTCACTTTTAACAGGGACATAACTAACTTCATGAAAGAAATTGCTGAATAAAAAAGGGCCTAGTTTGGTTGTAAAAAGAGCTCCAACTATGTATTGAAAAATTTTAAGAAACGATAAGGATAGATTAGAAAAAGAAGAAAAGGCATTTACATTGAACATTGTTATTTTTGTATTCTATTTAAATATTGTTTCAAAGTACAATACATAATGGTACAGATGTTTCAAGAAATATGTAGCCTTCAGATGGCCTATTTAATAGGTTGAAAATGCTTGCCAAAATTAAATGAATCTCGGCAGCCAAAAAGGTGTTTAGTGATGTATTCCAATGCTTTAACAACCTGAGATTATATTAGGATTATTTTTATTATAGCTAAATAATAAATATAAATTCTTAAAATTAAATTTTAATAATTTTTATTAATAAATTTTAAATTTATAACAGTCAATAGGTCTGTCTAAACATCAGATTCTCCTTATTACACCACCGCCATATCATCATGAAACATATCAAGAATATTGTATGAGTGTAGGTAAGATGCAATTGATAATTTGCTATATTGGTAATATTTTAGCATTTATGCTTAAAGTATTCTTATTATGCTACTGTTAATTGAATTAACTATAAAGTTAGTGTTTCATTGGTCGTTGGATAAAATTTTATTGTACTGTACACTTGTTTAATCACCATCTATTAAATATTTACAGTAGTGTATATTGAAGCTTGTAGAAATGTTTATGACTATCAATTTGTTGTATTAACTAAAGACAGTATGACATGCAATCTTTGCATATAATCTGTATCACTACCAAATTGCAAACTGAAGTTTTTTAAAAATTTGTTGAAAACACAATTATTTGCCAAACTTAAATTCAATTTGAAAATAATTTTAAAACTGTTTATATACAGGTATCCTTCATACAATATGGTTTTGCTCCAACACTGTTTGAAAATTAGGGATATCTCCAGAAAACAGGGTTTTGCTCTAACCCAGTTTTGGAAATCCTCAAACTCTCACAATTTTTAAGCATAAACTTCATTAATTTTTTATTCAAGTAAGCACATGTCTCAAATTTGCCCATGGATTTTAGAATATTGAAATTTTCAAATTATTTCGTTCTTTTCATCAGGTTTACTTTGATGAAAACTGATAGGCAAGGAAGAAAAAATTGCACTAACTCTCCTATCAACCAAGTGTCATTGTTGTTGCTTTTAGACTTTAGCCCTTAAAATTGTCACTTTTTATAGATTATAATAAATGTACCTAAAAATATTTAATTTCCGTATTTAGTAGTAATTAAACTTTTTTAACCGTAGATATTACTTACCTATGAATGATTAATTCATTCATAAAAATAACAAACAAAATATAGTGGTATCTCAGTACTCAAACAATTCAGTATTTGAACATAAATTCTGGAAAAATCACTCAATACTCAACTGAACAAACGTGAACCGTTAGAACAAATTTTCGATTAATAACATATTTTTGTTTCAGCAAACATAAAAAGAATTTTTATGATAAAAATAAAAAAATATGAAAATGTTGTTGATAATTTTGATCAAGATCAACAAAAAAGCCAAGATGATGACAAAACTTTGTAAAAAGAAAATGCCCTAGTTAACTAAAATTAATATTAACATGTCATACAGTACTTTTAATTGTGATTGGAAATAAATTATCGATTGCTTTGATAATCAATAATTAATTAACAAACATATTTCTCTTAGTAATGAAAAAGATTAGTATTCTTTTGCTAACTTCTGAAACATATCCCTATGTTTTGCATTAGTCCTTTGTTTCGTATAGCACGGATTTGCATAACATGACACTTTTTCGGAATGTAACTACCATGTTATACAAGAGATGCCTTGTATATATAATGTATATTAGAATGTAATTGAAGTATACTAATTATACTGTGCATTTTTGACAGTTTTTTGGGATTAATTTTTTTCTTGAGCATTTAGAAATCTAAAGAAAACAGTACACAATACAGAAAATCCAGCAAAAAACATGTAAAAACTTACTGTAACAAACATTTTTTTCTGTATTAAATGGTCATCATCAGGTTGAAAAAGTAAATTTTTACATGTTTTTTTGCTGGATTTTTGATACTGTGTGCTGATTTCTTTACACATATCCAGAGATAAGAATAAGGAAAGATGAATTGTAAAGAGTTATTGGTAGTTAATGCTGACAGTTTATCACTAGCATGGAAATGGGTTATAGAGAAGAAATTTAAGAGAACAGTGAGAAAGAAAAGTTATAAGAATTTGAAAACTGCCAAAAAATTTTATTGAATTTAATTGATAATTTTTAAAATTACAATAATGAAACTGTTTTATGCTGTCTTCTTTTGAAATAAAATTCAGATGGCATTTACTTCAAATATTGAATCTTAAAAATAATGTTTTATCCCTTTGATGAGTTAAGAAAAGGCTTTGATTTAAACCACTGTAATTTGTAACAAGGTCTTCCTTCAGTAAAGCATGACACAGTTATTTCAATTTTTCATGATTATGATCGTGTTTTAACTATTTTGTATGAAGATCTTGAATCTTCTATAAAACAATTTGACTAAATTCGAAAAAGTTTCAGAATTATCTCAATAGATTTATAATTAATTATTTCAAAAATTAATTATCAGCAATTAATGCAATCTGAATAAATGAAAATTTTTAAACCTTAGGTAGTGCAATACCAGTTCGATCCAATGAAATGGTTGCAAAATATGCTGCAGAATGTTATTCCTTAGGTGTATCTTCTGGTCTCGATGTAGTTCATTTATACAGGGAAATGTCCAAAGATCAGGTAAAATATTTTTTTTCTAATTTACACTTTGTAATTTGGCATAAGCCCTTCTTATCCCTCCCTCTCTGCTAATTATTCTGTTCATTTTGATTTTCTAAAGATATTTTATTAAATTATTGTTTATATCTCATTGTGAATGTAACCCAATTTTTATAATTCTAAACATTGTATTATTGCTTAAGGGAACCAAAGGCAAAAGTCTAAGCAAGGATTTAGCATGAGGAGAGCATTTACATCTTAAGTAAATGCACTATTGTATATTGTATTTTATATCTTTTGTAAATACACATTAATGATCTGATGTCATTTTATTGTTCTGTCTTTCTCTACTAATGAAAATTGGATACTTATAACCCCTTTAATACCTTAATTCTCCAGTTATTCTACAAAACAAAACTGACTAACAATTTTGATCATTAATCTTTATCAAGTCAGTTAACATTCCAATATTTGGAATGAAAATCAAACAATGACATATTAAAAAACTAAGAAGAAAACCATTTAAAAATGATTAATTACTCTGAAATTCCATGCTTGCAGTATACATTAAACGTATAAGTAAAAAATTATTTTATACCAATACTTTAACAACCATTTTTCCATTTATCGATAATGTGACATAATGGTTCAGTGTGGACAATACAATGTAATACACAAAGGAATGAATTTCAACCAATAAATACCCATAACCTTTTTATAATGCATTTGTTCAAAACTATGTTTATCATATACGATTATATTGTATATAAAGACTTTCATTAAAAGGAGGGTAATCAAGTACGGTATCATTTCATGATAATTCATATGGGCTCACACTCCAGTTAGACCAAACAAGTAACACCCAATGTTATTTTTTAGATCAGAATATTAATGTTAAAAACAAACACATACACTAATGTCTACTACAAGCCAATCATACACCATTGTTTATCATAGCAAACTCTGCAGACCCATTCATGTATAAAATGACTGCTTTCAGAGCCCTTACAATTAGAGCTTTTATGCACTGCACTTATTTAGATGACACATTAAAAGAACTGAAACATTTAGAACAAATTGCTACAATTCATGATTATAAAAAAAGGATTGATTTGCGATTTAGCCAAGGCTTACACAAACAAACACACACAATGAGTTTTCTCATCCAACCATAAATATATCTATTATATACAGTGTAACAACCCTACATGTATCTTAGTTGATTGTGACCATGATAAGAACTTGTTATACAAGGAAGTAGCTGCTAAAAGAGAGGCCGGTTTGATATATGGAAGTAATCTCACGGTTTACAACTACTTTACAATGGAAAAGATGCAGTCAACAAGGAGATGTTATGGGAGGTATACAAAGTTCCCATAAGGGATGACAGAGTCAATGAAGATCTTGAATATATAGGATCTACTAAATGATCCCTATATAAGCATCTAGCTGAACATAGATATGATATTACTAACAAGAAACATATCACAGCCCTTGCCATATATGCGACAGATAACGATGTACATGCTAATCTTCATGATGCCACCATCATTAGAAGGACTAACCAATTGGAACACATTAGAATGCTGGAGGCACTAGAGATTTTCAAGTCACAGGCAAAAGGGATATGCATTAACTTCAAGGAGGAAAAGAGCATTTTATGATGGCATGTTGTTGAGTATGATGTGAACTGATACCTTACTCAACTACTCCTTTTTTAATGAGTCTTTATGTACAGTTTAATCATGTATGATAAACATAGTTTTGAACAAATGCATTATAAAAAGGTTATGGGTATTTATTGGTTGAAATTCATTCCTTTGTGTATTGCATTGTATTGTTCACACTGAACCATTGTGTCACACTATCACTAAATGGAAAAATGGTTGTTAAAGTATTGATGTAAAATAATTTTTACTTGTATGTTTAATGTATATTGCAGGCATGAAATTTTACAGTAATTAGTTATTTTTAAATGTTTTTCTTATTAGCTTTGTAATACACTATTATTTGATTTGCATTCCGAATATTGGAACGTTAATTCACTTGATAAAGATCTTTGTCTTAGATCGAAAACATTAGTCAGTTTTGTTTCATACTGGAGAATTAAGGTATTAAAGGAGTTATTTTATATTTTACTGTTCATTATTTTTCAAATTTAAAAGTGCTTATTTTGTTCTAAAGTTTCATAATGTATTTGTGGCTGACGCCAACTCGATAAGAGTTGAAAATGTTTTCAAAATAGAAATATCTCTAGGTTTTGGTTTCTGTAATAAGCAGTAATATGAAGTATATTCTATAGTTCTAGTTTCGTTTTCAAGTTGAATGTATTTTCTATTCTAGAATTGGTCAAGATTTTTAATAGATGGATTACATTTTTCACACACCGGTGCAGTTTTTGTGTACACACAGCTCTGGCCTCACGTAGCTCGAAGAACAGAAAAACTAAAAATGATTGGCCCACTGTGGACTGATTTTGATAAAGAAGATAAAGAAGACAAACGACTACCATCCAAACCTGCGCTATAAAAGAACTAAAAGAAGCAACAGTATTTAACGTACGTGCGTAATGTGGAATTATGACAAAATTCAATTTTAGAGAAGGGGAATAATAATAAAAAAAAAGATATATAAATGGGACAAAACCAACTTTCTTAACTTTTATCACAGGAAATATTGTATATCAATAATCTCTTCCTAACAAGAAAAAATATCTTGCATATAATTTCTTGTCTGAATTTTTAAATCATAAAAACTTATTTTTAGATTAATTTAAATATCAAAATACGAAAAAGTATTCCTAATAAAAATTTTGAAAAAATCGATTGTTTTATTTGCACAAATGTTTTTAAAAATAATTGTTAAAGAACAAAAATAATTTGATCGTCTGTTCCGAAAAATAGTTTTTAATCCCTTAAAATGATTGAAATTTTACTGTACTTATTAAATGATTGAAAATTCATTTTTATGTATCAATTTTAAGAAAAATGGAAATACATTATACCCAAATAAAATAATATAATCGATTTTTATTTAACATTTAAATTGACAACTTTAAAAATGTGGGTTATTATTATTATTATTTGGGTTAACCTAAACAGTTACTAAATAGATTCAAGCAACTTTGTACTTTAGAATCACAGTGTTTCCTTTATTAATTGAAAATAACACAATAAAGATTTATAATTAATTTCCAAAATGAGCTACAAATCTTATTGCTTTTACATACAAAGAAAAATAATTTTGAGTTTAATCTCTTTAAACACATAAAAATCATAAATATAAACCAATTTTGTTTTTCTTTTAGGTAAGTTTTATGGATTTGAAACAAATTAAATATTGTAATTAGAAGAATTGATTGAGATACCGACGTTCTATTATAAACTTAATTCAGTTAATTCAGTTTTAGTTCTGAATATTTTTGACTCTTGATGATAGATATATGGCCCAAAAGTACAGGGCAATTCAATAAGAATTGCAAGATTTGGTACGTTTGTTGGGGGCATTACAGCAATACTTTGTACACAGCTGTGTTCTACTGGCTTGGGAAATTCAAGATGGGGCACTACACAAACTGTACTTTTTTGAAAACAAGGTTGGAAATGCAGTTACAGTGAATAGTGACATGATTATGAAATGCAGTCATGATATCGTGACATGATTACCAACTTATCATGTTTCAGCCATAAAAAGAAATCAATAATGTGAGTGACTTGTGGTTCCAGCAGTATGGTGTAACAGGTCACAAAGCTTGTGAAACTTTGCAGTTAATGGCAACCCAGAAATTTTTCATTCAACATCTCCTAAAATGGTGACACTAATTGGCCTGCCAGATCTTGTGATTTGACACCAACAAATCTTGGGGTTATTTGAAAGAGGAAGTATGTGCAGACAACCCAGAAATTATTGAACACTCGAAGGACAATATCCAACAAGTCATAGACAAAATAGCTCAATATTTTGAACATTTTTGTGAGAAATATCAAAAGATCGACAAATTAAGAAAAGCATAGATGGCCATTTGCATAATGTTGTCATCCACTCCTAATTTCCCATCCTTCAGGATTACATTGGTCTAATAAAAATTGAATTTACTAACAAAATAAATCCTGTAACTATTATTGAATCACCCTGTACCAATTTTATATATAAAAGTTTCTTTAACAAGTGTGCTGTAAAAAATATTGACTTTGATTACTCTTAGGGCTGGTTGCACAAGTTTACAGTTTAAACTATGGAATAACTACTGTATTTATGGAATAAATTTAACATCCTGTTCGCTGAAAAATTTTTACTGTGCAGTCACAATTGATTGAAATGCCAATCATCCACACACCCCAGAAACTATGGCAAGAATGAAATAAGATGTATGCAATGATCATTAACACTCAACTTTCAAGGAGGCCTCTTCTCTTGTACCACAGGAACAAACAGTTAACACTAGATATTACTGCCACTTCCTTGATCATCTTTATCCAGAAATTTGTAACAATAGGACAATTAAACAAACATTGCTAAACCCGATATATAACATAACTAAACACCAACCGTATGCCATAATAGGACAATTGTCTTCTACCATTACATCCCAGAAGTTTGACAGCAGATTGTTCACAAAGGTAGAGATTACATCAAAGGATTGTGACTTTTGTGCATTTGTTTTATTTTAGAATTAGAACATTACAACACTGTTGCCACTTCAAGTAAAATAACTCTTGTATTTAGAATCATCTGAATATGCCAATTAAAATTACAACGGAACATTGATGCACCGAGTTGTAACACTGATGAGGGTTGGAACATTGATGTTTTACATAATATTTAAAATTATCTAATACAGTGCATAATTTTCAGAAAACATTAAATATAAATATTGATTGCTAGAGTAAATAAAAGGTTTTATTTTGTTGAATTTGACTCAACAATAGCCAGAAATTATTTTTAAATGTTTAAATTTCTCTTGAGGAAAATTTGCCATGAAAGGATCTATACTAAATTTAAGAAAGTCTTCTGAAAGCTTCAGCAGATATTTTATTTTTCCTGTTCAAATTGCATTCATTAAACATGAATTTTTAAAACTGAGTGAGAAAATATTTCATTTTCTTCAAAAATTTTGAGATTGACACTCAAACACAAGACATGATAATGTCAAAACTGAGACCTTCTGAAATCAAGTAAGCAATTTTCTTTGTTTGTCAATAACATGCAAATTGTAGATTAGCATAGAAGGACAGACAACTTTGGAAAGTTTGAGGTGTGGGAGTCAAAAAGGCACTTGTTGAAAGGCAAAGATAAGATCATCTCCACACTATTCTGTTGAAGTTTAGAGATGGGATCAATGTCAAACAGCTAAGATAAACCATGATGGAGATGAATCTGATTCAGATGATGAGTTTGTGCAAGGAATACAGTGTTGGATGGCTGAGATACACTTATCTCTCAAGTACTTGATTTGAATTCAGGAGTGAGAGAGCATGTGGAGAACTCAGCATTGTATGGGGCTAGACTCATCTCCACTAATTCTCAGTTCAGTTCTAGCAGCAGAATCTGTGTATGAATGCAGTGTCCAGTGAGTTACACAAGCTCATTTCTAACTGGCTTGACCTATCACTTTCAAAATCAATGTGGAAAACTCAGTGTCAGAGATTGGATAGGATCTTCTCTGGAATTCTCATTTTGAGTTTGGAGAACATGAAGTCATGTGAGAACTGTGTTAAGTGGTAGTAGTCTTCAAGAGTAAAATCTATTTGAGTTCAGAGGGCAGATCATGTATCTTAGGACAGGATGCATACAGGTAGCATTGAGCATTGACAACAGGTTCAACAATCATCCATTTTAATTGTCAATGCTAAGAGGTGATTGTCACCTTAAATCACCTCAATGTCACCTTAATTTTGTTGCCCTTTGTTGGGTGAAGTTAGACTCATCTCTGGAGTGCTTGTTTGAAAGTAGTATGAGTTTACACCACTTTCGGTGTATTTTTGCTGTATCAACTATGATACACTTCAGTACTAATTAACTCTAAAATCTAACTTTAAAGTGTACCATTATATTGCCACAGTTTGATGTAGCAAAAATACACCACAAATTGGTGCAAACTTTTACTATTAAGTTCAGGGACAGGTGATCATGTGGGGATCTTGTGGGCATTGGACAGTTAAATAAATCCTATTTCAGTGGGCATTATTTGAATTTTGATGGTAAGAGGTCAGCAAGCATTTTAGTGTCAGTGGAACACTCAGTTTGAATTTGGAGATGTAAGTTTATGAAAGGATACCAGCACAAAGCAGAGGTAGACAGCAATTCATTCTGGGATTTTTGCACTGGGCAGAATTGCTTAGGCTCCATCCATATGATGGGATGATCTTGGCATCAGGCAGGTTTATGTCCACAACACTTGGTTTGCTTTCTGAGGATGGGAAGTCTTGCGATTTCACTGTTGGGCTGTTACATGAACCAAGTCTGCTAGAGACAAGCCTTTAAATACAAAAGGCAGGAAATCATTAGATATGTCAGCTTCTGGCTGTGTTAGCCAGAAGCTGACATATCTAATGATTTCCTGCCTTTTGTACTGTACCTCATGGCTTACTGCAATAAGCCTTTCTAACACAGAAAGGCTTATTGCAGTAAACCATGAGGTTTGATTTCGAAGAAGGTTGTGTAACATCAAGTTTGCTTTCAAATCATTGTTAATTTAATACATAGAGGATAGAAATTTTATAGTTTTATATGCTATTTTTCTGGACAATGATTATGAATCACTATACTGATCTTAAGTATAGTAGTAAAAACAGCATGAAAAAAATTTAGATGACTGGTAGTTGAAGTGGTAAAGATCCCAGATTCCTCACAGCAGTAGACTAAGTTCTGATCAGGAATTCACAAGTAGTTTATCCCAGTTATACTGGGCCCCATCTCATTGGGCTGCAATTTGAAAAAATTGTAGACCTATAAATTTCCACTATCGTCCCATCTGTCTTTCCTTAATTTCGAGAACAGAGTTTGATAGGTGATAGCCGAGACCAGATGTGAAAAGATACAGTTAATCAGGGCCTCCTGCTCCTATACGAACTTCCGACGTAAACCTGAAGTCACGTTATTTCAATTTAAAAATTTTCCCCGAAAGGCATTAGATAGATGACTGGCACAACTCTTGCTAACTGAAAAGTATGATGTAGAGGGGCAAGACACTACACTTGTAATTTGAGGTGGAAAGTATTGGTATATGTTTTAAATTAATTAAAAATTGCAGCCCAGCATTGTAAAAATGTCACAATAAATAATTGCTCATCATCTAGCCATTCACATTGTAAGTCTGATGGAAGTCATGATGCCCAGTATGATCAGTATTAGAGCCTTCTATTTTTGTTTTATCTTGAAAATAGGGTATAGAAAATTACATTAATTTTTTACCATTGCTTTTGTTTCCCCAATGAATTTCATAATAAAAATAAACAGGTCCTATAACTGTGTTGTAAAGAACTATAACATCAATGATGACTGCCTGCTGTAATCAACTGCTGCAATGGTGTGAAAAGTTATAAACAAAGAAATGTAGTCAGGATTTGAGAATCTGTCAGAACAGTGAACATTGATGAGCAATCAGACAATTTTGATGTCAGTGAAAACTTAAATGAAACTGATTTGAAATCATTTCTTCTGGGATAACAATAGGGGA